TATAGATGCCCAGATCAATAGGTTACCCTGGTAACAGTACATATTTCTCCTCCCCTCCCCACCCCTTTGTCCCTCTTCGCCTTTCCACAAGTACTATATCTTAAGCAGTGGGATTTACTGCTGGGGCTAAATTATTAATTACCTCTGATGAAAGGCTGATACAATTATTACAGGGTGAGCGCTGAGCAGTTTGCAATTAAAAGCTTACCTGAGGACCTTACGAGAAACAATGGTTTATAAAAAAAATTAGCACAATAAATTGAAGTGAGTGGGGAAATAATTAGACATGGGACCATTACGAAGATCAATGAGATTCACTGCAGAAGATGCAAATGAGGATCTGGGTTAGTTTCTAAATCTAATGTGCGCAAACATTTGAAGTCAATTCTAGGGGCTGTGTCCCTAGAAAGCTTGGGGAACAATGGAGGTAGATCAATCGAAATGCTGTGGGAACTTGCTTCACAATACTACTACTGCTAATAATAATCTTTGCATTTGATATAGCGCCTTATCAATTCATTGAGACGTCTTAAGTTACTTCACAGAATATTCTGCAAAGTGAATTGACTATATTTTGTGGGCGAAACACGGCAGCCAATTGCACACAGCAGCGTCCCACAAACAGTTGAGTGACCAAATTATTATTTTTTTTAAGTGATTATTACCCCCGGAAAGCCATCTGCCAATTAACTAACAACTGGGTTCCTACGCACTGCTCGGTAAACAGAGGCTCGTTGAGTAAGGAAATTTGCCCAATCCTTTGCCCTGCCCGAGATTCAAAGGTATCCCAGGTATCTCACTTGCGCGGTGAGTGCTCTAAGCACTGAGCTACAGGACTCCAATTAATCCAAGCTGTCGCTCTAAGGCCAAGCTCGGGGGCACTGCCTTCATCTACAAAACACACAGTCACTACACTTTACAGTATGTCATGTGAAGTGCTTTGAGATGTCCTCCCAACTTGAATGGCACTATATCAAACCCAATGATTATTTCACCACAAAATATACAGTCAATTTATAGTATATTCTGTGAAGAACTTTGAGATATCTAAACGATGTGATGAGGGGCTAAATCAAATGCAGAGAGAGAGAGAGAGAGAGAGAAATTCAGACCCTGAATAAAAGATAAGTTGACACATGGGTCAAAACAGTTTGTTATGGTTTCATATTGATCCAAGCCTAAACCCATTGAATCTCAGGTCAACGACACTGGTTCCATCAATAGACTGACTGAGTGCTGGAACTAGGCATCAATTCTATTGGATAATTAGGCTTATCGATATAGTGCAAACATTTTACTGTTAATCTCTGCTGACCAAGGTCGTCAAGTGGCTGGACAAACTAATGTCTATTCAAACCACCAGACAGGAGGCTGTGTCAGGGACAGAGTGGAGGCTAAACAACAACAACAACAAATGGCATTTCTACAGCGCCTTTCACGTCGGGAGGATGTCCCAAGGTGCTGGACAGCCAGGGACTTGGACTCTTGCTGGGGGGTCGGGATCAGGAGGAGTGGATGGCAGGGGTAGGAGAGTGACTAAAGGCTCAGTCGAAGAGGAGGGTCTCGAGATGGAACCGAGAGGGAGTAATGGAGGGTAGAGGACAGGAATGGGCACATTTAGGGGGAAGGAAAAATTCTGACCAGCCCGGCAGCTGAGAGGTGTAGGTCCGTGGGGGTGGAAAAAAGAAACAAAAAAGCACGATTTTTGAGTTCTTTAACAATCAGAATTTTTACATTTCCTTCACGCTTTGCAATTCGCCTGCAGCAATAAGTGCAGAAGCGGAATATTGGAGTTCTTCACATTGTTGATGTGACAATATTATTTATTGAAAGAATAATGGGAATTGTGACATCTATTATGCACTCTGACAATATATTGTAAAAATTGGAAATAACGGCGTCAGGCGTGCGTTTGTGTAAAAAATAATATTGACACATTTCCAAGAGCGGTGCAGACTCGAGCAGAATGAACACAGCTCATTGTGTGTTGTCAATTTTTATGATTCCAGATGAAGTCAATAGTGGTTCCATTAACCTGCGAAAAGTTTGAAAAACATTGTTTTCCAAATTTCTCACACCTTATAATAAATAATCGTAACATTTGTGCTTGATATAATGTGAAGACGTTTGAAAGCACCTCACGGGAATTACTTTAAAGTAATCCATGACTGTTTGTGGGATATTGCTGTACGCAATTGGCTTCCATGTTTTACTCACAAAATATATAGTCACTTTACAGTATATTCTATGAAGTTGAGTTTCTATGGGAGGCAAAAAGCAGGGAGTTGTTTTTCTGACTGGAGGGAAGTGTGTAGTGGTGTCCCCAAGGTCTCAGTATTGGGGCCACTGCTGTTTTTGATCTCTATAAATGACCTGGACTTGGGTATAGGGAGGACAATTTCCAAGTTTGCAGATGATACTAAGTTAGGAAAAGTTGTAAACAGTGAGGAGGATAGTAACAGACTGCAAATGGACATAGAGAGACTGGTAACATGGGCAGACATGTGGCAGATGAAGTTTCATGTGGAGAAATGCAAAGTGATGCATTTGGGAGGAAGAATGAGAAAAACAATATAAGCTGATGGTAGAATCTTAAAGGGGTGAAGGAACAGAGAGACCTGGGAGTTCATACAAGAAATCTGTGAAGGTGGCAGGACAGGTAGATAAAGCTGTTAAAAAAGCATATGGGATACTAGGCTTTATAAATAGGGGCATAGAAAACAAAAGGCAGGAAGTTATGATGAACCTTTATAAAACACTGACTGGTTAGGCCAGGATGAGGGACTTTAGTTATCAGGAGAGACTAGAGAAGCTGGGATTATTCTCTTGGAGCAGAGAAGGTTAAGAGAAGTCTGATGAAGTTTTCAAAATTATGAGGAGATTTGATAGGGTGAACAAGGAGAAGCTATTCCCACTGGTGGGTGGGTCAGTAACCCGAGGACACTGATTTAAAATAGTTGTTAAAAGAACCAGAGGGGAGGTGAGGAGAATTTTTTCACACAGCGAGTTGTTGGGATCTGGAATGCATTGCCTGAAAGGCTGGTGGAAGCCGATTCGATAACAACTTTTAAGCGAGAGGTAAATAATTATTTGGGGAGGATAAGATTGCAGGGCTATGGGGAAAGAGTGTGGGGTGGGGGAGGGAGAATAGGATTGAATTGGATAGCTCTTTTCAAAGAGCTGGCACAGGCACGATGGGCCAAATGGCCTCCTCCTCTACTGTATAATTCTATGATTCTATGAGTTAGGAACACTCTTGCCCCTGAGTTAGAAGGTTGTGGGTTCAAGCCCCAAGTCGGGACTTTGCACTCAAAAGCTGATAATCCATTGCAGTGCTGCATTGTCAGAGGGGCTGACATTAAACTGAGATCCTATCTGCCTGTTCATGTGAATGTTCAAGATCTTGTGGTGCTACTCAAAGAGAAAGGAGTTTCTCCCGCTGTCCCGATCAATTTCAGGACAGATACCAGAAAGACTTTCTTTACCCAGAGGACAAACAATGGCTGGAACAGGGTTGGGTGGTTGAAGCCAGGACAGTGGTACTCCTTGAAAAAGCAGCTTGATGCTGTGGTGGAGGTACAGTAGGGCGGGTGTTTTGAAAAGATGAGATTGGATGGGTCGAAGGGCCTTTTTCATCCAAACCGATCTTGCGATTTCAGAGAAAAACAACAACTTGTGTTTATACAGCATTCCTCATGTGGGACAGTGTCTCACAGTGACCTTCACAAAGACGAGTCAGACACTGAGCAAGAAAGGAGAGAGAGAAGGGGGGAGGTGGCCATAGGTAAGGTCAAAGAGTTGGGTGGGAATTAAAGAGATGGGGGAACGGGGAACGGAGGGGTTAGAGGTTGGGGATGAAGAAGATGAAAGCTCTATTAACTCACTGTTAGTGCAGGAGAGATGGTAACAATGGAAAAGAAACATTGCCAAGTTGCTGATTTTTGCTGGTGGGATCGCTGAAGAGTTAATGCACAGAAAGACTTTCCTGAGCCTGGCGATTGCAACTTATTAACTATCTCTGACCACGTCTGACTGACTGACGTCCATGGCTTCTCTGGTCAAATCCTATTACACCTCGTGACGCACAGTGTGCAGCACTTTCTTAGTAAATCTGTAAAAAAAAGCCCAGCTGACAGCACGGTCGATAGAAGCAGTGGAGATGTGCGTGGGAGGTTTCCCTGCTGAAGCCAGACTATTGACACCAGGATTTTTGTCATTTTCCAACAGCTTCTGGGGTTGAGGTGTCCTATCATTTTCTGTGGATGAATTTTCCATCTTGCTTTACAGAACAGCCCTGCTGTGTGTGTGTGCGTATATACATGTGTCCATGTCTGTATCTATGTGTGCGTATATGCATGTGCCGTGTGTGCCCATGTGTGCGCGTGTGTGTGTGCTCATATATGCATGTGCCTGTGTGTATATCTGTGTGTGTGTGTGCCTGTGTGTGTTTATGGATGACGGGTGATGATGGGATCAGATTGGGCGTAATGTCTCGTGAAGATGAAACGATCTTTAGATGTGCTGTGCCTGGGTTCTCTGATGTGACCAGTTCATTGGATGACAACGCAACCTACATTTACATGTCGGGAGGACATCTCAAAGTGCTTCACAGTGCTGGGCGGGTGCTTGAGCTGGGGGTGGGGGTGCTCAAAGAGGAAAGTCTTGAGATGGACCTTGAATGAGGTGAGTGAGGGGGAAAGTTGGAGGAACACAGGGATGGCGAGAGTGCGGGTGGGAGGGTAGGCCAGGAAACAGGCTGATGCCCACTGAGCGAAGGGAATGACCAGGTCAGAAGAGGAGGGGAAGAGATGGAATGGAGGGGTGGGAGAAAGGAAACCTAAATTTGTTCCCTATGTTGTTGGTAAATGTCAGGAGAATGGGACCGAATAAAGTATTTCGGGGAACCTGTTGCTACAACCCTAACCTCTAGAGCTCCCTCCCTTTGCCTCTCTATCTCCTACAGGTTCTACTTACTGCAAGGTAAACAGTGACGTGTGGAGTAAGGAAACTTGCCTAACATTTCGGCCCACATCCTGAAGTCTGACATTCGCTGTTTAAACCTAACTTCGCAATCACTTTTTTTTAATGTAGACCAGAACTCTTGTGGTTTGACTGGACCCGAGGTGTTTTGCTGAGAGCGTTAATTACTGTAACTGCAACACTAATCGATGTCGTGTTCATGTTATTGACCGAGACGTCAGCAGGTCAGAGTTGGGTTAGAAGCTGTGAAGCGAAAGCAATATGTTATTTATCAAAACACTTCATGAGACTTTGTAACTCACTGTTCAGCAGAATTGAAGGCCAATTTAAAGGGATACTTTGTTCTAAAGATTTTTTTTGCAGAAGAGAGTCTTGTGCTGTTTGTGACAAGCAGGCCTCACGCACTGACAAACTCCGTCACGTGTTGGTGTGACTCAATTGGAAAGGAATGAGAAAAAGAGAGTGAAAACCTTATCGTGGAATGGGTGCCCTGTTAAGGCAGCAGAGAGTCTGGATGCGACTGACCTGCTGATCGATCGATACCTGTTCCAGTGAGTGACCGCGTCAATTTCTAGTTGGATGTGACATTTCCAGAGGCCCCTGAAATCCAACCACACGTTGAGAGTTGAGGATATTGATTTGAAAAGACATTTGGCTTTCAGTGAACAGTACGCCTGGCTTTGTTGGTTGCACTCCCACTCGCTGAGACAAAAGCTTGTGGGTTCGAGCCCCTCATTTATTTTAATAATAATTATCCTTCCATTTGATATAGCGCCTTAAACATCTTCGAGACGGCTCAAAGCGCTTCACTGCAGAATGAATTGCCTGTATATTTTGTGGGCGAAACGCGGCAGCCAATTGCGCACAGCAGCATCCCACAAGCAGCCGTGGATTGAGTAACCAAATTATTATTTTGTATTTTTAATTATTTTTAAAAATATATTTTTAGAAGGGATTATTGGTTTTGACATGGATCTCATGGACACTCTAATACAGGGCTGGGGGCGGGGGGGGGGGGGGGGGTTGGTGGAAAAGAGAGCATACTCTGGGATCTTTAACACCCACCTGAACAGGTAGACTGGACCTTGATTTAATGTCTTGTCTAAAGGGCACCTCTGACTATGCAGTCCTTCCCCCTAACACTGTACTGGAGCGTCAGCCTAGACTGTGCGCTCAGATCCTAACAAACACTTGCGAACGGTATCTTTCTTGGTACTAGGGGAAGACTAGAACGAACTTGAGCCAGGACTGTGTAAATAGCTGCCAGAATTGACTTGGGAAAATTCTGAGGCTTGCAGTTCGCTGGCGACAGACATGCTGACCAGCTCCAAACAGGACTGTTCAATACAAACAGCTCGCTACTGCCTGCCGTATGGAGAACTGTCTCAAAATCACCTCAGTTTGTCTCAGTTAGTCCTAACCTGAAACGTCTGGCAATAATAATAATCCTTGCATTTGATACAGAGCCTTATCACGTCTTCGAGACGTCTCAAAGCGCTTCACAGAATATACTGTAATTCTGTAATGTGTGCAAAACGCAGAGGCCAATTGCGCACAGCAGTGTCCCACTAACTGTCATGGATTGAGTGAGCAAATGATTTTTTTTTAAGGGATTATTACCCCGGAAAAGCGAACCACTAATTGACTGACAACCAGGTTCCTACTTACTGCTAGGTAGACAGAGGGGTGTGAAGTAATGAGACTTGCCTAACGTTTCATCCTGCTTGGGAATCGAATCCAGGTCTGAGGCGAGTGCTCTAACCATTAAGCTACAGGACTCCACATGATCCATTATTATGCATCCATTTTACCTTTCTGGGAACAGCGTGTGTTCCTCTGGTGAGACTAATAGCCCTTATATTAGATACAGCTCCTTTCACATCAGGAGCACATCTTCTATGATTCTATACGTTTGGAGGGCTATGTGGAGAGAGTGGGTGAGTGGGATTGAATTGGAAGCTCTTTTCAAAGAGCTAGTACAGACATGATGGGCCGAATGGCCTCCTCCTGTGCTGTATGATTCTATAATTCAAAGTGTTTCACAGGATTTAATGTAAAATGCGATGACTGTCCTCCAACAATACAGCACTTCCTAGACTATGAGTTTGAAGTCCTGACATGGGGTTTGAACCCATAACTCTTAGACTCAGAGGCGAGAGTGCTACCTTCTGAGCCAAGCTGACACCTTTGCCCTTATGTTCAGTCACCTCAGTCCCAACATTCAACTTGATCTCAGGCTTTAAGTCCCTTTTGTCTCAAAATTTAAGACCACAAAGATTTGCGCAAAATTCTTAAAAGCAGCCCTAATTTGGAAGCCGCTTTTCTGACCAAAGAAACCGGTGTCGACCATATTGCTTTAAGAAGCACAGATTTGGAGTTGCAAAGGGCAATTTCAGGACAGACGTTTTTGTCTGAATCAAACCCAGGTTTCTCGCTTGCGAGGAGAGTGCTCTAACCACTGATCTGCAAGACTCCACATTTAAGCTGTGCGGTTTTAGATGGTTAGACTCCAGCAATTACCCCAAAGCAGACTCTGTGGTACCCAAGCCTTGGCTCTTGCCAACCTACGTCTAAAACTTTGCGGAATTAAATAAGCAGGATGAGTCCTTCCAGGGAGAGAGTGTGCATTCGATTCCAGCAATCTATCTCTGGGATTTCCATGTGCAGGTGGGATGCATGAAATTCTCAGCTTGGTTAGGATACTCTTTCCCCATGTGTCAGACACTTGGCTGACTAAGAAAAGTGTGTGAAATGTTGGGGTTTGCATTGTGGAGACTTATTGGGCGATCAAACGTTTGTTTTCCTTAAAGCTAGTTCACTGAGAGGCCGATAGAGATTTTTGGGCAGTGATTCTGTCTTGCTGGCTTGCATCGCAGAGATCCGATGGGCTGTGAGGCGTGGGATTATATTTCACGAGCCGCGAAAAAATGCCATCTTAACCCCCCCAACCTTCCAGTCTGATTTCTGGCTGACTGGTTCCAGAGCTTCCCCCATAAATCATCACCTCATCATTATTCAACTCTACATAAAAATGGCATCTTTATTAGGAGGTACTTGAGTATTAAATAGATCAGCCGACGATTTTGCATCAAGGGCATGCCAGAGGATGTCAAATCACAGATATGTTCCCCGTTGCCACGGCAACTCTGAAGTTTCATAGACTGAGAAAGTTCCCTCGTTGACATCCTGAGACAGTAATGGATTGTATCGTTCCCCTCTATCCCCGTCATGTTTGCTCCACAAGTGTTGAACCTGGCTCAGTTGATATCACTTCTCGTTTCCGCAGATGGTGAGTTCAAGTGTTGGGTCAGGACATTGAGCTCACAACATAGGATGACACTCCAGTCCAGTGCTTTGGTGGGTGTGGGGAGTGGGTGAGGGCATATTATGGCGTTTCCAACAACTTACCAACAAGCTTTATTGTTGGAGGCACCATCTCTGTAGCACTATGGAGTCCTGCAGGGTATTGGTCAGAGCACTCGCCTCGCAAGCTAGAGAACCCAAGCTGGGTTCGATTCCCAGGCTGGGCGAAACCTTAGGCACTCGAACAATCTCATGAAATGTTCTACTGCAGGAAGCAGGCAGTCAAAACTGAACAGTGCAGGTGAATGGTTAGATATTCTGCATTGAATTAATTTGTGTTGCTCTTGGGGTGGGGGCGTAGTGGGTGAGGGAGAGCACAGAGAAGCCTTCGTAAATGTTCTCTCGGTAGATCAAAGAAGTGTCTTGACAGGACATGTTACGCGAGGCTGTAAATTAATAGGATTGATAATTTGACTGGCTCTCGCTTCCCCATGCATTCCCCATTTTGTTGTTCTATTTGTCACACATGAACCTCCGTGGCCTCAAAAGATTGTTCGCCAGTACCGACACGGGTTTGCGTCTCCATCTCCAGTCACCTCTGCCTTATTGCTCTTTGTGTCGTCGCTACTTTAATTGCAAACGCTTGTCTTTAATTACATGTCACAAGAGGTGTGACGCAGGCTGGAGGTTTAAGCTGGGTTGCGAAAACGATTATGTCTTTAGCTCTCTCGCACGCTGCAAATAATTGCCCGTGTTCTAAAATTAAAATCTCATTTCGACTGAGGCTGCGGATTAAAGGCGGCAGTGTGTGTGGAGGTTACACGGTTAAACCCTCGGATGTTATTTTGCGAACTTGTATTGGGTAGTTCTTATTAACTCAGCAATTCAGAATGCTGATTTGATGCCGCGGAGATTGTCAGCACCGAGATGAAAGCTGAGGAAGCTGTCAATCCTGAAGTCAATGAAATGTGCGTGTGTCCCATCTGCAGTTATCTTGTATAGTCCCTTATACAGTCACTGGGAGCAGGGATTCTTCCCTCTCATTTCCCTTGCAAGCTAAAGCCCTAATGTTAAGTGCTTTGAGATGTTATTTTGCCTGAAATGTGTTCTGCTAGTGTAAGGTGTTGCCATCCCCATTATGTTAGGTTGTAGAGCGGAACAGGAATGTAACCTGAACGAGAACAGTTTGTTTAGATTCGGGACCAGGCAACCACGGACTGTTTTGCAAAGTGTGACACAGAGAGTTGTTCATAACCTTAACATTGGCAGACTCGGGTCTGTCTCATCAACCTCCATTCTGGTACACGGAGATTAACGTCACGGCTGTTTGTGAGACATTGCTGTGTGCAAATTGATGGACGCTACACTTTATAATAATCCTTGTATTTGTATTTTCAAGACGTCTCTAAAGTGCTTCACAGAATATATTGTACGGTGAATTGACTGTACATTTGTGGGCGAAACGCAGCAATTGTGAACAGCAGTGTCCCCCAAACAACATCAGCATTCTGAATTGCTGAGTGTCCTGCTTTTCTGGAAACATTTAAAAAAATAATTTGGTCACTCAATCCACGACCGTTTGTGGGACACTGCTGTGCGCAATTGGCTGCCGCGTTTTGCCCACAAAACACACAGTCACTACACTTTAAGGTATATTCTGCGAAGTGCTTTGAGACGTCTGGACAAGATAAGACACTATATCAAATGCCAGGATTGTCGTGATTGAGTAACCAAATTATTATTTTATTATTTTTTTCCTTGAGGGATTATAGTCAGGCATGTGGAGTAAGGAAACTTGCCCAAGGTTTCGCCCTGCCCGGGTATCGAACCCAGGTCCCTCACTTGTGAGGCGAATGCTCTAACCGCTGAGCAGTAATTCCCACAGAGTGCTTTGAGATGTTCTCCCGATGAGAGTCGCTGCATCCAATGCAAAGATTATTTTTATTATTACTTGTTATGTTTTCATGAAACACAAGGCAGCTCATAATTGTGGCAATAGAATGGGACAGAACAGAAATGGGCAGTTTGGCCCAACTATTCCATGCCTATACTTCACTTGAAGCTGCAACCACTCTTGATCCTGTTTTATCATCTCATCCGAAGGATGGCACCTCCGATCATGCAGTGCTCCCCCAGTTCTACTCTGGAGTGTCTGCCTAGACTCAAAGACCCCGAATGGGACTTGAACCCACAACCTGCTGACTGGGAGGTGAGAGTACAACCGACTGAGCCAGGCTGACATACTGCA